CAGAGAGACCCAGAGAGACAGAGAGAGATGTGCAAAATGTGGGATAATGGCTTGATGCCTAGTGATTTGGTCTTCCCCACCCCTTTTTCCAGGAATGCAATCTTGGATCTCTTTGTCTCTTGCAATTTTTTAATAATCGTGTTTTACAGTTTTTCAATTCTTTAATCTTAAATTATTTGGTTTTCATGTTTTATTGTATCGATTAAACTGTTTGTAGCCCAGAGAACCTCAAGGAGGGAAAGGTTCGTAAGTATGATATAGAAATAAATATAAATAATAATATAGGAGTGCCCTGGCCCACAAATTAATTTCTCCCTTCTACATTTCTACCTGTAAAGTTTAATCACTTAAAAAACTCAGCAAAAGGTGGAGAGATCAAGAAACCATAGCTTCGCATGAAATTTGCCTTTAATATGTACAGTGGACAATTTTTAAATGGTTATGGGATAAACAACTGTGTCACACATGGAACAGGAATAACAGAATTGGCAGGGACCTTTGAGGTCTTCTAGTCCAACCCCTTGCTCAAGCAGGAAATCCTGTACCATTTCAGACAAATTGTTGTCCAATCAGCACTCTCGTTAACTAATGAGGGGCCTGTTTCCCAGGCTTGTGTCACTTCCCTAGCTGTTTTTGTGCCTGCTTGTCCAACATCAATTTCTCAGCTATTAAGATTGTTGGCTGAGCAAGTACAAAAAAAAGCCAGGGAAGTGATTGAAGCCTGGGAAATAGGCCTTTCATCAGTCATCAGGAGTGCTGATTTACCACCAGCCTATCAAGTACTGAGAAGTCGAGGGCTGGGCAGCACAAGCGAATGACAGCCAATTGCTTAAAAGCCAGCCATCCACACCCCAAACAATATCTAAAAAGCCACACACAACAGGCACTATAAATACCACACAGAACAAGCACACACTCTGCTAGAGAGGAGTTCCCTGAGGATGGGCTCCAGCATGAATCTGAAAACTCGAAAGACAAAACCTCAATTAATCATTGGAACAACTTACCTCCAGAAATTGTGAATACTCCAACACTGGAAGTTTTAAATAAGAGATTGGATAAGCCTTTATCAGACATGGTATAGGGTTTCCTGCCTAAGCAGGGGGTTGGACTAGAAGACCTCCAAGGTTGCTTCCAGCTCTGTTACTCTATTCTGTTCTATTCTGTTCTACTCTACTCTGCATTCTGTTCTGTTCTGTTCTGTTCTATTCTGCTCTTTTCTACTTACTCTGCATTCTGTTCTATTCTATTTTACTCTACTCTGCATTCTACTCTACTCTACTCTACTTTACTCTGCATTCTGTTCTGTTCTGTTCTATTCTGCCCTGCTCTGCCCTGTCCTACCATACCCTACCCTACTTTATTCTGCATTCTGTTCTGTTCTNGATGTTTCTGGTGCGATGTTTTTGCATCCCTGTGTATGTGTGTTTCAGACAGCAGAAACTGCCCTGCACGCAAACACCCAGAATGAATTCCAACAAAAAACAAAATGATTTATTAATATCACAAGTAGTAATAAGACCAGCACCATTGTAATCAGTTAATAGCTTTTATCATGAATGAACCATCAACTAGTAAAGCCCTAACTCAAAGCACCTGCATCTACTCAAAGTGAGCACTATTATTAGGAATTTTGTTTCATTCTATTATGACATGTGGTTCTTATTTGACATCAGCTTCTGGTTAAAAAAATATGACTAACGTTCATTAGATCTATTCAGGAACTCAGTATTTCTCTCTTTTCAGTGATCCAAACAAATCTTATCAGTCCAGAATTCTCTGAAAAGAATGAAAGGCTCACATTAAACGCTCAAGGAGATCAAATAGCCATCCACTCAAGAGAAGCAACTGCTATGACCACAGGTATTGTTCATGACTAGTATGGTTTTTCTACAAAATAGATCCAAAATTACTTTTACTAGCTATTTTATTGCTTCCTCCATGTCAGCTGCAACCCTAGAATATTTGAGCATTTTATCACTGGTTTGGATTAGGGAAGTTGCAATCCAACACATCTGTAAAATACTACATTGGGAAAAGTGAAAGGGAATAGATTGGAAACTGGAAGCCGTGTAGGATTTCCTGCCTAAGCTGGGGGTTGAACTAGAAGACCTCCAAGGTTCCCTCCAATTCCTCTAAAGAGGAATACTGTTATTCTAGACAGTAGTTGGTAGTACCTATTTTGCCAAGAAGTAAATATATGGATCTACACTGATCCTTTTGTTATCAACATTTTCCCAAGTTAGAGGAAATTATGTATATTTTATTTGGTTTTATGTTTCTCCCTGCTATTCGTTCTGTCTCTTGCAGATACCATTGCTGTGGCTTTTATATCATATGGTGGGCTAAAAACACTTTTACAAGATACTTTACTTCAGAATAGAACATTCCTGGGCAATGAAATTCTGACAGATGTTCATATGAATTCTAGGCTGGTAAGCGTTTCTGCCAGAAGCAAGAAACAGAATATTTCTACCCCAGTCAATCTCACCTTTCAGCATCTCAAGGTATATAAATGAAGTTACCTCAGAAATCAAGCCATTTTTTTCTATCCGTCTTATGAATATATATTAAGAAAGAAAGCAGAATATCAAGAAAAATATAAATCTGGATAAATGTTCTATACAATACAATAATACAATACAATAGCAGAGTTGGAATGGACCTTGGGGGTCTTCTAGTCCAACCCCCTGCCTAC